CATGCCCAAACCTTTAAGTTTTATTTTCAATGCTCCATTCGAGGGTGTCCCCGACCAGTGTTTTTCAGCTGCATGGGTAAAGTAGAGTAGCCGTTTACCGTGTCATCCACATGACGCACCAGAAGTCTGAAAAAAGATGCACGCGTGACTTTTCCAGTTGTATATGAGTACACGTCCCAATGAAATGACCACATGTCCGCTAACTCATTCCTGTGTCCTTGGGTAAGACACGTAACCCAACATTGCTCCAGTAGCGTTGACTACGATGTGTGATTGCTATTAATTCTGTGCAGACAGGACAGAGGATGTGTACAGATTGTAAAGCCCCCTGTTTGGGGTAATACATAATTAATTGAATTGAATGCTAGTTGCTGATGGGCAGGTGTCGCTGTGTATGGTAGCTCCTGTCCTGTGTGTGTGTGAATGGGTAAATGATGACATGTAGGGTTAAAGAGCTATAAGTAGTTAGAAGATAAATGTACATAAGAGGGGAATGTAGCTGATTCACATGTGGATATAAGCTTGAATTGGTTGGACACCGTAACAATCAGACAGGTTGAAGACAATGGTCGAGAACTAAAGGTTTTATTTCTCCTTCGGGTCCCTTGTTTCGTAATCCGTTATAGATGCGTAACAATGCCCATAGATAGTTGTCTCCCACCTGTCAGGTCGCAGGCTCCGGTTTATGTTTGGCAATGTATGGTTGTCATAGTGACAGGATTAGCTTGGAGGTGCTGTAAGGGATACGGGGCAGCTGTGCGCGCGTGTGTGTGTGTGTGTGTGTGTGTGTGTGTGTGTGTGTGTGTGTGTGTGTGTGTGTGTGTGTGTGTGTGTGTGTGTACACACTCTCTCTCGGTTGTATAGAGAATCTATTTTGGTGATGTCACCTTTCTCTATTCCTCGCACACATTTAAACAAACAAACAGGGTGAGAGTATTGTGAAGGGACATCCAACAAGGACAGAGTACGTGAAGCTTTTTCTTTGCAGGGTTACACAGGGAAACCCTAAATGTTCACGTAAAAATGAAATCAGGACCGGCCACTCAATCATGTTGTTTTACCTGTACAGATGTTTCACAATATAAACATCACTGTGCATCTGCAGCAAATATTATCTATATAATCTATATAATATTAGATCATATATATTTCTCCAAATCATCAAACTAGGCGTCTGACTTGTCGGGGTGTGGTTTGCGTAGAGTTGGATGATGACACCAAAACCCAATTTTGCTATTTGGGAGGATACCAAAAATGAAGGTTGTGGTTATTTTCATAGCTTGAATATTATTGGCATCGGTAGATTGTTAGACCACCAACAATTACCCCCTCATGTTTTCATAAACCAGGGATGTATATTAGCCACAAATGCCAAGTTTAATGTGTATCTTTCATGTCCAATCTGATTCAAGTGTGAGGTCTAGACAGAGGAACAATGTGGCTATTAGTAGAAATGTCATTGCCGATCAGTTCTATCCTCTTGAGTAATTAATGAAGGCATATAAAAACCGCAGTTAGGATTAGCAGAAAGCATAGATGTCAGTCCAGAGTTGAGCCCAGGAGGAAACTGGAGCACACGGCTGTTTCTTTAATTGCTTTGTATTGGGTGCAAGGACAGCAGGGCGCTGTAGCTAGGGGCAACAAGCTGTGAACTGACATTGAACTCATTTGTCCCTGTGTCTCGGATTGGATAGAAGACAAAGTGGTCTCAGTTACCACTGGAGGATAGATTATTTTTGGTTTAAGTGCTTGATAACCTTTTTTTCTGTTTTGAGAATTTATTATGAAAACCAATGACCAATATGTGTAACTGATTTGGAATATTTCTCTTTGACATATGTATGGGATAGTCAGGAATGATGCATCCTCCTGCTGAGTAAGTTCGCCTCGTTCCATTATTATACTGGAAATTTACTTGCGTTTTAGAGATGCATATCTGGTAAAGGCCCCATTTAATCCATCAGGCGGTATGGCATTTACTGGGGTTTTACTCGGATGCCTTTTTATAGTCCCCTCATGACCGCACACCTGTCTCAGCCTTTGTCGGTAAGTGCTGAGGGGCTTTAGACAGTTCTGCTCCTTTCCCATCCCTCACAGTGGAAACTTGCTAATATAAATGACAACAAATCGCAGAAGGGTTTCAATACTTCATATGGACATTACACAAAGAAGTAAATCCAGCAAGATTCTCGTCATTTACTTCTAATGTGATAAACATTTATACATGGAGCGTGGGCTCCATACAAGCATTAGCATTGTATGAAGCCCAGATACAAAGCATTAACCTTGGAAAGTTTTTCATCACAAAATGTGAGAACTTTTTCAGGAATCTGTGAATCGATTGACAGTGCTAGAAGATACGAGACAGATGATATGAGATACATGAAAAAGGGCATCTGTGGCACAATATAGCAGAGAAAATGTTTTGAAGTACTCTGTGGAATGGAGATGAAAATTACATCATGATATCAAGTAATCTGATCAGTCGGGGCTGTACGAGCAGTGGTAGCAGAGCAACATCGAGAAGCTCCTAATTGGCTTAAACACAGACGATTGTGAAGGAGCTGTATACAGTCTTTAAAAATGTTCAGGAACAGCAACCAATTGGTATGACTTCTGCTGATTATAATCACAATGCATCTGTGATCAAGAGGCCAGTACACAGCATACTGGCAAGGTTGCTTTTGCAAACAATGAAAGTAACCAAATGTTGGGGGTGGAGGGTCTAGCAGGATCCAGGTCATGTTATATGACGTAATGGAACACTGAATCCTGCAGGTTTTCACCATCACGAACATCAAACAAATGAGCAGCATCTGTTCATATACAGCAGCGGGACATAAACGGTTGGATCGTGCTGTAGCACTGACTTGCTCATCTGTGCTGTGGAGCAGCTGACGGCACTTGTGTTGAATATTTAATGAGTGTTTTCCGGGAAGCCAAAGCCCACCTACACAGCCGCATTCACTGACAACTTGCATCGGGTGTGTGGGCATCCTGAAGAAGACCTAACGTGTTTAACTGAACTCAAACTATAAATACAAGACCGATGCATCCAGCCTTCAGATATTTATTTTAGAAGTGACTTAATGAGACAATCGTGTTATTGTTGTAAAATATATTTTCTGTTGTTGAAACTAATTACTCCATGCTAATTATTATTATTATTATTAAAAAATAGTACAAATTGACTTATCACATGTTGAGCATATCCGTTATGGTTCATAGATGCACATCTTTACTTTAATACTTGATTTTTTTCCTATACAGTATTTTCAATAGTGTTCATTGATTACTCCGTAGGGGGCCACGCCTTTCACACCAAATTACTCTGAGCTTTCATTTCAAACTGTATCATGTGCATAGAAAATATTTGAGGGACACAGACTGTGTTTTACCTCAAGGGAGGTTAGTGGTTTCCCAAGTTTTAAATATTTTGATTCACCTTCCTCCAGACACCTCTTCTTTTTCTCCATGAGATTTTTTAGTTCCTCCTGATGATAATCAAAAGTTCTTTTCATGGGCTTAGTTGGGGGTTCGCTGTCTTGTCTTGATTTAAGAGTTAGGTAAGGGGGGAAGCAGGACGGGCCGAGCAGGCAGACACGAGTCTGACAGGATGGGGAGTCAGTTTATGTCCTGGCTGAGGAATGTAAGGTCTGCGGGTCAACTAGCAGATTTACCAGCCAAAGGGGGGGTTAGAGACACACCAACACTATTCAACATACACACTCTGTTCGCTGATGTTTACGTTAAGTCAGGAGTCTGGACATTGGATGTGACCGGATCTTTAGATGCGGGAGGTGGAAGGTCCTCCTCTACGCCAGTTTAGGGCCAATAGAAATCTTTCCTTCTCTGTCTTTCAAGGGTTATAAAACATGATGTTCTTGCTGATGTTAGTGAGTTGTTCTTTCGGCCTGTGTGCTGCCTGAACTGCTCCTGCCTTTGCAAACGCAGCGCTGATACTTGACCTGTGATCTGACAAATAAATCTCCCAGAACGAGAGAAGTTGTTCGGCTGAATCTTTGATAACCCCGACCAGGCTCCAATTCTTGAACGCGTATTCTTACACTCCTTTTAAAGTATTTAAGTTTTGCAGCCGGCTGGAGCTCCAAAACTGCTTGTCTGCTAGCGAGGGGCACCAGTGGTGACAGAGCAGTGGTTTCAAACTCAATCACAGTGAGAGACAAAATTAAAAAAATTGCCATATAGATACACGATACTAGAATTCAATAGAATAGCCCTTGTAAACCTTGTAAAAGTTTCTCTTGTGTCACAACCTTGCTCTTGGGCCATGACAAAAATGGAGAAACACTGAGTTGTAGATGACGCGTGTAATTTATTTCTGGTTCAAAAATGCAAAGAAATAGCGCTCCCGCAAAATCGAGTGAGGGCTTGGACACACACACACACACACACACACACACACACACACACACACACAGCAGGATCTGCTCGAAACCAAAGGGCCGTCACACTGATGCAGCGGATTAGATGAGTAGCAGATGGAAACTATGAGTGTGAATACGGATTGTGAGGAGTACTATACGTCAGAGCAAGCAGCGATGTCAGAGGGAGGGCCGGTTGGTGATGGAGGTTGGCCGGTATTTGACCAGCCCAGCTACGTCAGCCCACCGGGGGTTTTCCCGGTATCCCCCATGGCCAGTCTTCACCGCCTGTTGCAGTTACCTCAGTCTATGTAGGTTTTTACAGTGGAAGCACCACGCAGCTGATATTAAATGTTGGTAGGCCCGGAAAATACTTGGATACTGGGACAAGCTGGTTTGAATGTTAACAAAGATGGTGTGGTTCCATGTTAGGTGCAAGACTTGTGTGACCAATATAACAAAATGGAAAAGTGTCTGGAAGAATCTTTGAATCTACCTTGAAGACACTTCCTACTTCCTCCGTCCTGTCATCTCTTTCCTCATCTGATTTCTACCTCGCTCTGTTCTCCATCGCTCTCCTTTACCGTAATCACATTACTCTCTCTCTGTCCGTAGTGCTGAGGGAAAGCAGACCCAACCCTACCTGACTGGAGAGGGAATCACGACCACAGCTCCAGCCCCACAGACCGCCTCCGCCATGCAGACCTCCGCCCTTCTCCTCCTCTCCCAAATCCTCCTCCTGTCTCTCCTCATCCCCACCTGCTCCTCACAGAGCGAGGCTGAGTTCACCGTTCAGACGCGTACCGGTCGAGTACGAGGCATCCGCTTGCCGGTGCCGGACCGAAGCTACGTCACCACCTTCCTGGGCATCCCCTTCGCAGAAGCGCCGGTGGGGAAGCGGCGGTTCCGTCGCGCCGAGCCCAAACGCCCGTGGACGGGGGTGTACGAGGCCAACGCCTACCCCAATGCCTGCTACCAGTTTGTGGACACGTCGTTCCCCGGCTTCCAGGGCAGCGAGATGTGGAACCCCAACAGAGATATGAGCGAGGACTGCCTGTACCTCAACGTGTGGGTTCCCTCTTCGCCCAGACCGCACAACCTCACCGTCATGGTGTGGATCTACGGCGGAGGTACTAGGTCATGACGCGGTATAAGTTAGGTTAGACATTAGACACATTCTCCATGTGTGGACTTCAGGCCAGCAGGTATTCAAAGAAATCCTTTTCAGAAGGCACTGCATTGAGTTGTACCTGTTTTATATCACAACATTTACAACGTGGGAGCAGGCGAGGCTGCTCCTTTTAGCCGCCATTAATATCTCCGTATCGGTAGTGGAATCTATATCTAAATCTATTTCCTTACAAATGTAAAGATAATGGATTCCTTTCAACATTAAGCCTCTCAAGCTGTGCGAATGACATGTGTGTCTGTTTGTGGGAGATTGTGATACATTAGCTTAATAAGAAACTGTGATACTTAACATTTCTAGGATTCTACAGTGGTTCTTCTTCTCTGGACGTCTATGATGGCCGCTACCTAGCTCACAGTGAGACGGTCATCGTGGTCTCCATGAACTACCGGATCGGTGCTTTGGGCTTCCTCGCTCTGCACGGCTCCTCTGAGGCTCCCGGCAACGTGGGTCTTCTGGACCAGAGGATGGCGCTGCAGTGGGTCCAGGACAACATCCATTTCTTTGGTGGAAACCCCAAACAGGTCACTTTATCACAGTTCAGTTTGGTTTATCTACACAAAGAATCAAGAGCGCTTATTTTGACCCTGACTTCTGTGTTCGCTGCCTTTGACCAATCAGGTGACTATCTTTGGTGAGAGTGCTGGCGGAGCTTCGGTAGGGTTCCACCTCCTGTCTCCAGACAGCCGGCCCACCTTCACCAGGGCCATCCTCCAGAGCGGAGTCCCCAACTGTCCCTGGGCCTCGGTCAGCCCCGCCGAGGCTCGCAGACGGGCTACGCAGCTGGGCAAGCTGGTCGGCTGCAACGGAGGCAACGACACAGAGATGGTGGACTGTCTGCGTGGCAAACACCCGCAGGAGATTATTGACCAAGAGTGGCAGGTAACAGTCAGGAAAAAGCCAGTGAAACTTTTGATCCTTGTTTTAAGACACAGTCTTTGTTGACTAGAGCAGTGATTTCCAACCAGTGTGCCTTGAGAGATCATCAGGTGTGCCGTCAGAAAAGGTCCAATTTCACTTTAATCGGCACCCAAAAGAAAGAAAACATTGTGAGCTTGAGGCAATACAGTGAAAGTTCTTTCATTTGGACCGCTTCGCACACAAACTGAGAAACAGGTGACTTTTATGAGGAAATCCACAAACGTGGATATGTTTGGGAGCTGTTTTAAGGATTGATGTCGTAGCCACAGACCGAATATGTATTTCTGAAAATATTGAGAGACAGTCTAACACATTATTGTTTTGGGGTTTTTTCATGAGAATTCTTGGGGATAAGCAAAATATAGATTAACTAAATTCTATCACTATGAACTGTGATTCAAATGATTGGTAGAATACCATGTCAAAGTATTGAAAATCCTACTTACTGGGGGGTCATATTCGGGTTTAATATTAACATGGTGAGTGTTAGTGAAAACCTCCCTCACTATATAAAATTATATATTTTTAATTGGTGATCTTGGGCTATACAAAATAAGATTTAATTCAATTGAATTGAAACACACATTACACCATGCAGATTGATTTTATCTCCACCCATGGCCCACAGGAGGTGTCTGCCAGACAGCATAATGGAAGAGATACGCAAGTTGTCAGGATGTTATGAGGTGTTATTTCACCAAATCGGTAACGTGATATTTGGTCTTTTCTTTTCCCGGTATGCGTGTCAATTCAATGTCACTCAGATCCGCGCAACATATGAGCTTGTCCTCCTTTTCGGAACAGGTTCTGCCTTGGTCGTCGCTCTTCCGGTTCCCGTTTGTCCCGGTCGTGGACGGCGAGGTCCTGCCCGACACTCCCGAGGCCATGCTCAACTCGGGCAACTTCAAAGACACTCAGATCCTTCTCGGGGTCAACCAGGACGAGGGCTCCTACTTCCTGCTGTACGGAGCTCCGGGCTTCAGCAAGGACAACGAGAGCCTGATCTCCAGAGAGGACTTCCTGGAAGGTGAGGCTCACTTTTTATAAAAAGATTATCTACGCTGTTAATGTGGATGCAGACATTTTGACAGTTCTCCATAATCCGAGAGAATTGTAGGAATACTTTACCATGTCACAGTTTTCTTTTTTTTAAAATGCTCTTAAAAAAGTTGAACCTCCCTGTACCAGGGGTCAAGCTGAGCGTGCCTCACGCTAACGACATTGGCCTGGAGTCGGTGGTGCTGCAGTACACTGACTGGATGGACGAGAACAACGGGCTGAAGAACCGCGAGGCCATGGACGACGTGGTGGGCGACCACAACGTCATCTGCCCGCTGGCCCACTTTGCTCGCATCTACGCCCTGCACAGCGCCCTCAAGTCCAGCACGGGAGGGGCGGTGACCGGCGGATCTAGCTCACAAGGTAAGCTGTGCGAGTGGGTTTCCGTGGTCCTTTTCACACCCTGTGATGCACCAGCTCAGCTTGGTGTCACCAGCTGTAGTTCCACACTCTTAACCTCACACTGTCCGACTATAGCGGACTGTAGCTGTCCAGGATTTTGTTTATGTACAATTACTGGCCACTGATTTAGCTTCTGGTACGTGCCTGAGTTTTCACTGCGGTGATACATTAATAAATTGAGTTTGTGACTGTTATTTTTTTAATTTGTTATCTGCCCAGCTGGCTCAAATTCTCGTGTGCTGGGAGGAGATGGAAACACGAAGCTTGGAAAAGAACTGGAAATTACTGGCCTGTACTTCTAAAGTAGTATTAACCCTGCCACATGATGGTGCTGTTAATTATGTCCCCAAAATTAGATTTGTTTTTTAAATATCACGCCCTTGTTTTTTCATTTTAATTATTGAAATTCTGCACAAAGAGGGTTTTTTTCCCATTGTGTAAAATGGTGGTTGGGGGATTGGATCACAGACCTTCTGGAGCGGAGTCCAGTGAGGTTTGCTCGCTCTGTTGTTTTCAGGTTTCTCTGTAATGCTGATGAGTTCTGGTGGCTTTTCTCTCTTTGGTAGGGCCAGCCAATCAGTTTCAGTAATCATCCAAGTACGATTCAATGCAAAAGAAAAGGTATTAAACACGCATTATTACTTTGCAGTTAAATATTTAACATTTATAAGAGTTTACCATAATAAGGACATTTTATTCAAACAATTCAGTATATTGATGAATATGTATATAACTATAATATATATTTTAAAATATTCAGAATATGATATAACTACCATATCATAACTATTATACATATCCAATATAAATATCCTAAATAGCATATAATAAATATATTAAAGGATAAATATATTTATATAAAATGTATTACATCTATGAACCTAACGTTAGTTTGTTGGGGAAACACCCGATCAGTGTGTTGAGGAAAGACCAACTCAAAAGGCCCACAAAACTCAATGAGGTCAACCAGCCTCCACTTCCAAATACGGTCACGTCTTCTGTATATACTCCGTTAGCACATTGCTAACTAGCGGCCCGTTGTCTGATTGTGAGGTCACGCTGATCTGGGTCCTGCTGTTTTTACCTTTTGTTTCTCCGACAAAGTTCTTCTCTCGTACCGACTTCGAGTCGGGTCTTCTTGGAAGGACACTGCTCATCGTTGCTCTTGTTATGTTGTTAAACGGCGCGTCGCAGGAATCGGCCTGACAAGAGCTCAGCCTCATTTTTCCGGCATCTTGAGGTCAAGTCAGGAGCACAGATCGCACACACTGTCCCCTTCTTACGGCTGGCGCATGCGTCTGCGTCGTTGCGTCGACGCACTCGTTTCAATTCATGGTTCTGCGTGTGTTTAAGAGGAGTTCACTGCCTGAACAACAGGCGGAGTAACGTGTTTTTGTTGAATACGACCTAGAGAGTCACATCTATTTATTTATTTGTCTATTTATTTATCATAGACTTTATTGCCCCGTGCGTCGCCACTGCTGCTTTTCATCGCGGACACATTTGTCCCGTATTTTTCTCCACAACTTTGTGCACCTCTCCACCGGCAAACCGGCGTTTGCGGCGATCTCCCTCCATGAATCCAACCCGCTTATACAAGCCGTCATTGGCGGGTTGTATAAGCGGTCATATTTACGCATTTCTTCCAACAAAAATTCTTCAATCTGATCCGTTCTCTCGTAAACATTCTTCATTTTAATAATGGCAGTATTGTGCTATGAAAACGAAATTGTGAGAAGGATGCAGTTAGCAGACCAATCGCAGCCTGGTGCGCTGCGGGAGGCTTGCGTCGCTTGCGTAGCTTTCGATGCAAGCCTAGAAAAATGGGTCGACACACGCAAGGACGCAAGGAGGTGTGAAAAGCGACGCAAGGGGTCTTGCGACTGCAACGCTCCGAAAACGCAGAAGCATAAACTAGGCTGTGCATCTTTCATTTCCAGCCTGCCAGCCACAGGTCTGTTGAATAGCTCATCTCTTGGCACAGAACCGGCAGTATAATCAGTAACCAGAAACTCTGTTAGTTATTTCTCTAACAACAGATTTCCGCCGCACTGGATCACAAAGCACATCCGGGTGCAATGGGATAACTTACTTACTTACGTATTTTGGTCCTATTACACCGTTCTGATGGCAGTAAACAGTTGTAGCTTTGATTATCCAGCTGTGATAGATACAGTATGGCAGCTGGTTTCCCCCCCGCCTTAACAGGGTGCTCAAGGACCTTCAAGATGGACTCCATTCCAGACAATTATGGAGCGAGGTGTCCACCAAACCAAACCACTGCTAGCGACATTAAAAAAATCCATCTTTTTCTCCTTAAGGAGGGGTCTACCTCTACCTGTTCGATCACCGAGCGTCCAACCTGGCCTGGCCGGAGTGGATGGGCGTCATCCACGGCTACGAGATCGAGTTTGTCTTCGGCCTGCCACTGGAGAAGAGACTCAACTACACCTTAGAAGAGGAGAAACTGAGCCAACGCATGATGAAATACTGGGCCAACTTTGCAAGAACCGGGTAAGGCCTCAAAACCTGCAGTGTATATTTTATTAATAACGGAAAAAAGAGAGAGACTTGTGTACCAGAGATGACAGATTAGGTTGCTTAGCTGAAGGGTTGATGTAGTGGTTAGTAGAAGTCACACGGTCTGGTTTCTGCAAAGCAAACCCCTGACCATGCAAACATTTTTTGCCATAGCAGCCCAATTTGGGCAGCCAATATAATGTATTTCTCCGCCACATCAGGTCAGGAGCCAGATCAGGGCAGATCAGGGCAATACTATGGTATATTCAGCGGTGATGGGAACACCATTGGAGTTGGTTGGTTGGTCTGTTAACACTTCCATGGTCCATATTGCTATATCTACGAAAGGATTGGAGGAATTTTCAGCATATTTGGCAAAGATGGTACCCTAGTATTTGCTTTCACTTTCCTCTAGCTCTAGAGGAAAGAGTTTTCACTTATTCATCTAAATATTTATATCTACTTAATGGATTGGCCCAAAATGACTGTACAGACATTCATGGTCCCCAGAGGATTAAGCTCATGGACCCAGACATCTTATCTAAGGTGATCATCAACCATCTTTAAACCACTTATCCTTCACGCGGCGGCGCGGGGGAGGGGGCGCCTGGGCGGCTGTCAATCCCAGCTAACTTTGGCGAAAGGTACACCTTGGATTGGTCACCAGCTAATTGCACGGCTAACAAACAAGCATTCACACTCACATCCACCAATCAACCTAATCCCCAGAGCATGTCTCTGGACTGTGGGAGGAAGCCAGAGTATCCGGAGGGAACCCACGCAGACACAAGGAGAACTTTGCCTAATCATTTGTTAATCATTTGTTAATCATTTGTTAATGATTAGGGCTAGGCAAGCAACGCGTCATCACCGGCAATTGTTGTTTTATTGTGAGTTGAAGCAGCTTTTTTTGGTCAATATTATTATTTTGAAACTTCTTTCTCACGGCTTTGAATACAGATAAAGACCAACCATAGGTCACGGGTGAGATGTTAATCAGTATTGGCTTGGTAGAGGCGTCGTCACGTGTCTCAACCAATTAAAACAGTTGGGGGCGGGGCAACAGAAAAAGGGAGAAAGGTAGCGTACTCTTACCTGGACATCTTCATTTGAAATCTTCATTTGAAATCTCTTGCCAGATGGCAAAGTTTATAGAACTAACATTATTAATAACCTGATTTCTGAAAGTATTTTTTTTTATCTTCTTTGACTGTAATTCTCAAAGGAAAAGCAAAACACACATACCTGCACAGTAAATCCCAGTGTCGGTGCTGGGACACTTACTACTCAAAGTTAATTATTGATAGAAAAATAGATTATTGATAAATTTACTATTTAAGATGCTCCCAGAAATTTTTTTTTTATGTATATATATTTACGCTGGTAAAAAAACTATTTATAAGTGTTAACTTGCCTGTTAAAATGTTAGGATTGTGGAGGGTACCTTGTTTTTCAGGCCAATACAATGTTGGCAAAAGTGTTTTTTATATATGATTATGACATTAATTTTAATTTTTTATAAGTTGAGATTTCTAAATAATATTTTAACTGCCCTATGTAAAGGAATACTGCTGTTAAAAAGCACCTCATTTGATTTGTTTGCACAAATAAAACTAAGCAATTCACCACCTTATAATTGTATAATTACAATGCCATTAATCCGAGATTCATGCGACTAATCCTGATTTGAAAAAAATGTAATCGTTGCCCGGTACTATTTTTTTATTTAATTATCAAAAACTCATGAACTTTCAGCTCTACTTTGGGTTTTGTGCTAATTCTAGCACTAAGATGATAAGCACTCTACTCTATACTGCTAAACGTGAATGCCAACATGTTAGTATTAAATTTGCATTTATCACAGAGTCCGGCTGTGCCTCACAAAGTTACTAGGTGATGTGGTGCAGACTTTACATTTTAGTTTTTTAATCCTTTGTTTTACTGTCTCTGGTACTTGCTTCTCGTCCTCCTCCCTCAGAAATCCCAATGTGAACCACGACGGGCTGGTAGACAGCAGGAAGCGCTGGCCTCTGTTCACCGTCAGCGAGCAGAAACACGTCGGACTCAACACTGAACCAATGAAGGTCCACAAAGGTCTGAGGAACCAGATGTGCGCTTTCTGGAACCGCTACCTGCCACGCCTCCTTAACATCACTGGTATGTAACAGTGCTGCTCCTCAACACACAACATCAGTGCTGAATGTAGGTCTTCACACGCTGGCATTTTTGTTGCCAATATTGAGGTTTGTCCTGAAGAAATGTCATTGTATATATTTATAATATTCCACATCTATTTTCAACGTCTATACATGTGATAATCAAATCAATCTCCATATAGCCTTGAACCATCTTGTGGTTCACAATACAACTAAAGACAAAAGACAACTTGTGGCCGTGACATAAACCACAAACTGGTAATGAGACCTTAAAGGTCTGTAGGCACAGTACCAGTCAAAAGTTTGGGTACACTTTCTCATTTAATTAAATTGAATAATAAAATGTGTCCAAACGTTTGACTGGTACTGTAGGTGTACAGATGAGAAAAATGCAAAATACTTATCTTAATTTTATTTCCATAGTTCAAGGTTTCAAAACTGCAGTCCACAGAGCAGTGGATGAGAGGTGTAGCAAAGTCATTGTCCGATTGCATTGCAAGTGTTGATGATACGTAATCTTAACAATAAAGACAATTGTACAATTGTTTTGGGATGCAAATTAAATACATGGGAAAAAGAAATCCAACGTTGTGTAGAAGCCTCAAAGAACAACGTCTAACGTTTGATTGCGCTGTGTCTCTTCTCTCAGACAACATCGACGAGGCAGAGCGCCAGTGGAAGGTGGAGTTCCACCGCTGGTCTTCCTACATGATGCACTGGAAGAGTCAGTTTGACCACTACAGCAAGCAGGAGCGCTGCACTGACCTCTAAGAGCCTGAGCAGAGAGATGAGAGAATGTCAGGGAGGGGGAGGCAGAGAGAACCATTTCCCTCCATAGCCCCCCTTTGAAGTCTAACTTCATTCAAACTTTTTTTTTTCTGTTTCAGTCCACACACAACCACAGGCACTGTTGATATTTAGTTGTCTTATTTATACTATTTATTTCTTTTGGGGGGATTTTCTGATTTTGTGTGTGTTTCTGTGTGAAGGACTATGGGGGGAAGTTGTCCTCGAATATTAGAAATGTCAAAGATGTGTCATTACCTCGGGTGTGTGTGTGCGTGTGTGTGTGTGTGTGTGTGTGGCTGCATGGGTGCATACGGGTGTGTTTAACTAAAATCTCTACAGGCCCATGACATTGTACCGCTGCTGGTTTACTGTTGACGCACTTATCTTTGTGTTGATCTCGTAAACTCATCCTTTGGTTTCCAGACAATTCCTTCTTTCCAGCACATCAGGGTTCTTCTGGTTTTTCTGTTGAGGCCTTTTTTAGTCATGTTCATGTTATGATCACTATTCCCATTACCTGAGGTTTTCAGCTTCACTTTGTCTTGTGTATTTTCATGTGGTAAAGCCATAAGCTGGGTTGCATCATAGTGTTTCTGTGTGTAAAGGCTCCATGGAAACTCTAAACTCCCTACATATCTCTATTTATGGGGAAATCACTTAATGGTAGTTTGTTGTGATGTGAAAGTTTTAAAATGATATCCTTTCACCTCTACTTTAGATGCTACGTGACACTCATTTGCCTCATTTTGATTTCAAAATTTCCCTTTGAACGAGTTGAACGACGGTTGAACAGAACTAGAAACCAGCCCTGTTTGTTCTCAACATCTTAGTGCCCCACCTGTCTTATCTGCATATCAGTGGAGTAGAGGGTGAGCAAAGGAACGGATCCCAATTTTTCTCTACCGCTTTGGGAAAATTGTATTTGATGCAACTGTTAATAGAAATCATTTTTTATTTAACTTATTGTTATAGCATTCAGTGTTATTGTTATAGCACTCACTTTCCTCTAACTCATTTTTGTCCTAACTAATTTTTTTTATTTTTTTTTTTAAATATCACATACCCAACCCACTGTGATACTCCAAAATACCCCTATGGGTCCTAAAACCGCCATTTGAGAAACGCACACTAAAGCCAAAGTTATGCTCTCATAGATTTCACGGAAGGGTCATGGGGAAATTGGGAGTTTCCCATAAAGCGATGGGAGTGGACGCGTAATGTCCGCCTAATTATGTATTCCGCGGTATGTACAGGAACCGCCCTCTGAAGCGTGCCTATGTTTTGGGGTGAAAATTCTCTGCCTCTTAAAAGCAGGTGTAAACCAGAATGCAGGTTTCCTCACATATGCCTCCTGGTGAAATGGCAACAGTAATCCGAGTCAGTCGGCGACAAAGCCCAAGGAGACGAGCTGAAAGGATATGTGTAAACTGACGTATCACAGCGAGTGCTTTCTGCGTGTCGGCCATGGCGCTGATTATACTACGTTTGTAGTACACGAGGGCCAGAGAGTATTACACATTCAGCTACAATGATGTGTAATAAAATATAACCGAAGCTATAAATTAAGGGATTATCAAAATAGTTGCCAATGAAGTGTTTCTCTCTCTACTCTTTAATCCGTTTACATTAGCGTGACGATTTCAGCAAAGGTTTAGTATTTTACATCTGCTTGTAGAAGGATCATGTCATTTTTTTTGAACATGGCCTCACCATAAAGCCACTACGCATAACATTTTAAAGATGTCTTGCCATGTTGCAATTGTCTGGTAGCGTTCAGAATGCCGCTACTCTGCAATGAAATGATTACATTTGGAAATGTTTGCAGGCTTCGTATACATTTGTGCTTCATTTAGACATATTTGTATGTTACTGTGAGAGTGAATCCGTTGCTAGAGGGAGGGATGTTGGGAAACGGGACTAGGTGTGTTACCCCCAATAAGATTAAAGATATCGGTGCATTGTCTGCAATGTGATACATTGAACCATGTAACAATTCAATACAGTTTGATATAGCACACGTGTTACACTTCATAGCATGTTAGCTAGTTTTCTCCCCACCAGCGACGACCAGCTAGCATACTTGACGTGCTGCAGCGCTCTGCTACGTCTCCTCTCCCCTAAAAACTCACATAGACTCTTCTCTCGCAGATAGGACTTAAAAAACTGGTCCATTGGAGCTATTTTTCTCTGTTTATGACGGACTTCTATGTTTTTAATTCCTCTCAAATATTGTGTTTTGAACAGACAATGCCGTATCTTAGATTGTTGTATTAATTTTCCTAGATACCTTGAATTCTAGCAAGAGACCTTCAGAGTCATTCTTAATGGAAAAACCCTTTTAAAATACAATATATGTCTTGTGGGTGCGTCTTTCAATCCAAATCGTTCTGCTGGGATGAGATGTGAGCCCCACCAAAGCTGGTATTGAGGAACCGGGGGTCATGTCATCGGCATTGTTTCAGGAACAATTACTATAGTGAATAACCGTACAGTCTTGTGTGTGCATGAAGGAGAGGAAGTCTTCCTCTCCTTCATTTAATTTTTATTTCCACCAACCGCCCACCAATCTCCTCTCCTTCCCTATTCCCCAGCACCCCCAGTTGTTCTTCTTCCTCCATCACCGCTGTTTCATCTTCATCTCTAGTCTACCTCCACTCAACCTCCTGTCTCTCGTACCTTCAAGCCTTCATCCGTCACTGCCTTCTCCCCACCTACGCTCTTAAAACCTTTTATTTATACCCTTGGATCTTTGCTCCTTCCACCTCATCAAACTTCTTTCCCTCTGCATCGTCCATCTCCCAGTTGCATCACCCCCCCTAGTCATCTCTCTCTGTCCTCCCGCTTTCTCGTTAGTCTAATGGAGGCCGAGTAATTCACTCAGCGGCAGGATAATGTGACAGGGCGCTTGCTCAGCCTCTGGCCTCCCAGCCGAACAGGACTCATTGGATGAATGGATGGATGGAGGTGGAAGGTACAGAGATGAGGCGAGGAGAAAGGGACCGAGGAGGGCAGGGTAGAGTGTGGGCGGAGATGTGATGTAAAGATGAAAAGACAGTCAGAGAAATGCATTACATAACTCTCTCCCCTTAGAAGATGTTGTTTGTGAGCGGGTTTCAGCTTACACATGTGGCACCGATAGTGAATAATTGATATGTAATTAAAATATTTTCATTTAAGTAGTGTGGTTTACTGACAACAACAAACTATTTTTAAGACTTATTTAAGTGAATAATTTAAGGGGAGTTTTGTATCTCCATTACAATGAATGCTTTTTATTTAACACTAACAATGGTTTAGCCGTTCAGAGCCCAGAACGTCCTGGAACAAAGCATTTCATGTGTATTAGGTAATGTACATGCACAAGTTCCATAAATGTACAAGGTAATGTCCTGTTTGCACAGGATCTGTATGTTGTGTGCATACAATGTTATCTTGTGGTTAGAACAAGATGGTATACTTCATCGGTTTTAGCTGGTTGGCAATTCATCTGGATCTTGTGTGCACACAATGTTGATCCCGCTAGATAAGAACCGCGCCAATGCTCCATATGTTGTCGGATCCCCCAAAAAGTATGATCCATGTGCTATCATACGTTGCATGCAAATAAAAAATATATATATAATCGTCCAGAACTTTTGAGACTCTCCAACAAAAATCTCTCGTCCGCTGACAGTTGACTTTCACTACCTTCTCACTTCACTTGCATTATTTGTCCATCCACGCTCTTTACCACTGTGTGTGTGTGTGTGTGTGTGTGTGTGTGTGTGTGTGTGTGTGTGTGTGTGTGTGTGTGTGTGTGTGTGTGTGTGTGTATATAATGTACTCACTGTACTTGCCTGTCGACCTCTGCCATTTTTATTTACTAACACTGGGAGGAACTTGAATCAGCGCTGTGATTGGCTGATTTCTGTTGCGTCGCTGTTGGCATGTTAAGCTCCTATTTATGGATTGGAGTAAAGTAGTCTTGCTTTAAAAAGAACTAAATATGAATAAAGGGTTGCACCTGATGTCCTAAATAGAATGGAGTGGAGAATGCATGTGTGATTGGCTGTGTGAGTGACAGCTTCTCCAGCTCCTCTCATCCAATGGGATACCCCGCTTTAACCCTCCTTCCTTGCCCTCCTATCAGAACCTTGTGCATGTCCTGAAGTCCATCCGTCCCCAGCATACCCTTCCAAACTTGGACTGTTATTTTCTGTAAAAATTTGTACTTTTGAACAAAACTATTATCAAAGTCACTTAATATATATATCTAATGTTGGGTATGTTTTGATGTTAGCAATAAGGTAACTACATCAGTAAAGGAATATATTTGATATTTAAATGCAGTGAAAATATAATGTGATAAAACAACAATGATGATGGATAGAGGTTGTGTTTTAAAAGCAATATTATTCTGTGTAAACTAAAAATGAGTGCCATAAATCCTTTTTCTTGTGTTCGTTCTGTTTGACTTTGTTTTCTGGTCCTCTGCCTCATCGTTGTTTGTTCCGGTCACTAGTACTGCAAGTGTTGAAGGCTTCTGTAGCTTCCCAGTATGTCTCTGTGTATCATGAATGCTGACTTGGTAAAGCTATAGCAACAGAAATAAAGACACCCAGCTGCTTCTGTCCACACCGAGCCTTCATTGAGTCTCAGCACCATGCTCTGTCCTGCCCGGGATACTATATATTTATATTTATATATAAAATCAGTGGTAATATAGGAAGTGGTGTTCTTTAATATCTGATAGCGCTTTCATGCTGCCCTCTAGTGTTCATTCTATGTTTCTACAAAGCAAATGAAGATCACCAAAGTGAAAGTATTCATACTAAATCAGACACGGCAGAAACCATTATTTGTTCTCTGTCAAAACCGGTCGTAAAACTACGGTGGCCCTAAGGTGTTCAAACACTATAGAGCTGTGTGCTCAGTTTGTCCCCTCCGGGCTACTATAGAAACACTCATTCTAAGCTAAGGAAAACTCAACAATTCTTAGTTTTAGGGGCTCATACACTACTGTTATTAGCACGCAAAACAGTAAGGGGCTGTGGTTTATCAAATGTTCTTGGTTATTTTTATGACACATCAAAATCGTTTTGTGATTAATTTTATTGTTGTATTGACTTGCAACAAATCATTTTTATTTTTTTCATAATTTTGGAAATCATTGGTTTAAACGTGTGCAACATGGTTTGACTCCAAATGTCTATAATATGACTTTTCGACTGTGTAAAATTAAGAATCCCTTTCACTTAGAAATTTGTTGGGAACTGGAAATCCATTTAAACATAAATAATTTTCCAACTGCATATGTTTTGGTAAAACAGGAGTAGAGGGTTTAAGTTCCGCTTGTACCAGCTGTTTTTTTCTTGCCAAAACAGGTGTGCTTATTTTTCTATTTTCATCTTTGCTACATGAATTTGCTTCTTCTTAAATGGGTTTAGAATCTTGCTGACGTTAAGGGTAAAACCTCTGGCTGCTTTGACCCCTCCATTATGTTAGATTGTTAGTTAGTTGAATCCAATTCATTTAGTAGAGTATTGAAGACCTGAGCTCTCATTTAAAACTAACATTCGCCCGAACGCCATACCGGAGATCCTGCAAAACCTTTTATAGAGTTTATAGATTTATTGCATATTAGCAATAACACTGAAGTCGAGAACCACATCATTTCAACATTTCAACACAATGTATCTTGAATCAAAGTGTGTTTTTAGGAAACGCTAATTTACGTTTTCCTGCAATAATAACGGCTTTAGGAGTCATTTTAGGACTTTATTAGTAATGAATGTTTTCTCTTAAATAGTCTTTTTAAAATAATGATTTATAAAACACACACACACAAGTTGTCCAAAGCTTTATTTCTCCTAATATATATTATGTAACATGATGCTGCTGTGTTCTAAAATATGATGAAACTCCGGACGGACAGAAGACATCTTGGATTGAAAGTTAAAATCAAAAGTATTTAATAAAAGAAAAGTTGTTGTGCTAAAACGAACATATCAGGAGCCGCTGGTTTCAACAGGGCAGCTCATCCACCAGCCACAGTCTCTTGCCTCCACCGACGATCCTAGAGCAATGGGTGCCTACAGGTATTTTTTGCTTCTAAATAAGTTTGTTGGAGCCATTCTGAATACGGCAATGGGATGGCGCTGTTTTTGCCACCAGCCTATTTAACACCAGGGCTAATTAGTGCAGGTGTGGCGCACAGCGAGGCAGATAACTTTTAACCGTGAGGCACGGCGGATTGGGAACCGAATTGTTATTATTGTTATAAATAAATGGATTGACATATCCGATGTTAAGTTCAGAAGTTATGAAAGTAAGTTATTTTTATTTTAAGCCACAAACAACACGCCGGAAAACACGAGTACAAAACAACTTAAATGTGCGCCAGCAATTAGTCAAAAGTTTGGCTCAGTATGAGAAAAAGACCGATCAATTTTAGACGGCACGATCCTTGTGCTGTTTGAGCACCTTGTCTTCGACGGCGATCGGCTGAATGGAAACGCTGTCGCGTGCTTTGGATATAGCGTTAGTCGTATACTACGTGCGCAGCGCGTCTCACATTGGACAGTGGAGCAAACCACGCAGCCACGGGCGGAGATCGGTGACCGGTAGCGGGGATCGGCGGCGGAGGACGGTGACCGGTAGCAGTGATTGGTAGCGGATGTCGGTGAAACTACGCTGGAGCCTCACAGTGGATAGTGAGGCAGTCCGAACTCGGTCACGACGGAGGTTGGTGAGCGTTCTCACATTGGTCAGTGAGGATTGGACACTACGTCACCAAGTGAAGAAAAGTTGGTTGGACCTGGAACGAGCCGCGAGGTATGAGCAGTTAACATTACATTACAGGTCATTTAGCAGACGCTTTTATCCAAAGCGACTTACATTACAAATTACATAATTAACACACACGAGTAAGAAGGAATGAAGCAGAGCTGCCTGCAGTTATTAAAGTGTAAACGGCAGGACTGACGAGAACACAATGGATGGACATTTGGTTTATCGACATTGACATTTTCCAACGAGGACTTGAAATAAGAGACATTTGGGTTTGCAAGAAAATGAAAGTGTTAATGGTTTGTTTTTTATTCTGATGCTCGTTTTCATGATATTGTGAAATATTGCTGTTTTCTGGGTGGTTGACTGGAAAACAAGGTAAAGTGGATGAAGATCATCAAGGTACTGAGGTAACAAATGTGTCAGCTGACTTACAAAAGGTTAATGAGGATGAAGCCTCTGTGGAAAAAAAGGTCTGTAAAATTGACACAAAAAGTACTGCTTTCCAAACTAGGTGGCTTAGAGACACTAAGGAAATCCAAGTTAAGTAAAGCTGCCAATATAAAACAAACTGTTCAAGGGTTAATGTGTCAGTCTGGTTATGAAGCTGAAATAAAAGGTAGCTTCAGCAAATATCAAGCCTTGATTAAAGACGCAAAAGTTGCACAAAACCAACTGCTTGAGTTGCTACCCGTAGATGAAAAGGAAAGGCATGAAACCTGGTTCAAAGCTGTTAAGTGTGAACGAATTTTGCTATTGCGTAGAAAATCGTTTTAAGAGTGCAAATAATGGTACTACTGAAACCGTTGCCCTTGAGGATGATATAAAGCCAACGGATAGTGTATCAAATGTTGGTACATCATCATGCACTAAAAGCCGTACCAGTGAAAGATCAAGTCGATCAAGCAAAGCTGCATTGGAAGTTTCACACGCGCAAGCAAAAGCCAGGAAAGCTGCACTCATAGCACGTGCAGCAGCGTTAAAAAAGAAACATGAATTGGAAAGGGAGGTGGAATCAATAAGGAAACTGGAACAGGTGGAAATGGATGCTGAGATTGAAGCCTCAGATGCAGAATTGGCAGTACTGCAAACATTTTCAGATCAGGATGGTATGGAGTCGTACATTGAGAAGCAAAAATCAAAAGAAAGCCCTAACATTTCTGAGGCGACGTTTGAAAAATCTACAAGATTGATGAGTAATAAAGGTTTATCTACTGCTAATGTTGCACATGCAGTTGATGACAATTCTACACAACAGATTCTGCAAAGGCAAAATGAGATATCCGAGCTGCTCTTACAACACAAAGCAAGCCAACTGCCACCTAGACAACTACCTGTTTTCGAAGGTGACCCATTGAAGTTCAAAATGTTCATGCAAGCTTTTAAGCATTGTGTGGAGGAGAAAGCTGCATCTAAAGGGGATTGCACGTATTTTTTGGAAAGGTACACCAGGGGGCGTCCTCACGACCTTGTGCAAAGCTGTTTACATATGAGTGCGGAGAGAGGTTTTGAAACAGCTAAAGCTCTCCTACAGGAACACTTCGGCAATGAAACAAAGATTACAGCAGCATATATGGAAAAGGTTCTCAACTGGCCTGTGGTGAAGCCTGAAGGTGTTTTGTTTCTACAGGACTATGCATTATTTCTACGTGGATGCTATAATGCAATGTCAGATTTGGAGGACATGAAAGAGCTGGACTTGCCGGCTAACCTCAAAATTATTGTTTCAAAACTTCCTTTTAAGATGAGGGAAAAATTTAGAAGTTCTGCTTGCGGTATTCGGGAGCGACAACTCCGCAAACCTAACTTTAAAGACGTTGTACACTTTGTGGAATATGAAGTAAAAATCTTGTCTGATCCTATTTTTGGTGATATTCAAACTACTGAAAGAGAGAGGCAGGTTAAAAGGGATGTGTATACAGCCAAGCCTAGGTCGAAGCAAGGTAACTTTGCTACAAACGTCTGTGCTGTTAGCAAAGTGCAACGCAGGGACACACAAGAAGGTAAACACAGGGAGAGCAACATCGGCATCAATTGTTTATTCTGTTTGCAAGATCACAGTCTGGATGAATGTCAACGACTTGCAAAAAACAAACATTGTGAAAAGATCAACTTCTTAAAGGAAAAAGGAGTATGTTTTGGGTGTCTCAACATTGGGCATTTGAGCAAAAATTGCGATAAGCGGAAAACCTGTGAAAAATGCAAACAGAGCCATCCAACAGCTTTACACATTCAGGTCAAACAAGTGGACAAATCGATGAACAGCAGTGGCATCTATCCCAAGGAACCTAAACCAGCTGTAAACCATACGCTTGTGTCAGCTCAGACATTTGGGAGCCGGGCCGGTGGTAGTGGAATGCTCTCCATCCTGCCAGTTCAGGTAAAAGGGCAACAAGGTCATTCAGACTTATGCTTTTCTGGACAATGGCTCGACATCCACATTCTGCTCTGAAGCTCTTATGCGTAGACTTAATCTTACTGGAACAAAGTCAAAAATAGGTTTGTTAACGATGAGCCCAAAGACATCAGTGTCAACATACATTGTGAATGGACTTGAAGTAGCTAGCCTTAATGGAACAAGGTACTACAGTCTTCCAAATGTTTACACACAGAAAAAGATGCCAGTTGACACAGCAAACATCATAAAACCAGAGGACCTATCACAGTGGCCTTACCTTGATCACATTGAAATCCCTGAAATTGATGCTACCGTGGAGTTATTAATAGGTACTAATGCTTCAAAGTTGCTAGAACCATGGGAAATTGTGAATAGCCAAGGTGAGTGTCCTTTTGCTGTTAAAACCCTATTAGGGTGGGTGATCAATGGCTTAGGAAAGGATTCCAAAGACAATTGGAATGGCATTGGCTATCCTTCTGTTTCTGTAAACAGATTATCTGTAGAATCACTTCAGCTGTTATTGGAGAAGCAGTACCAAAGTGACTTCAATGAGAAAATCGCCGACGACAATGAAGAAATGTCAAGGCAAGAGGCAAGATTCATTAAAATAATGGATCAATCTGTAAAGTTAAAGGACGGACATTACAGTTTAAAGCTGCCATTTAAAGCCCAAGAGGTAACTCTGCCAAACAACCGTTGTATTGCTCAACAGCGCCTCATTGGACTAAGAAGGAAAATGGAAAGAAATGAGAAATTCCACCAAGAATACACAAGCTTTCTTGAAAATGTCATCAGCAGTGACTATGCAGAAATGGTACCACAGGATGAATTGCGTTGTGGAGAAGATAACCTGTTCTATATACCTCATCATGGAGTATATCACCCACGGAAGGGCAAGTTGCGAGTTGTCTTCGACTGTGGAGCTAAGTTTAAAGGAACTTCTTTGAACGAACAACTTCTGCAGGGTCCGAACCTTACAAGTTCCTTAATAGGAGTGTTTCTACGATTCAGACAAGAACCAGTTGCTTTTATGTCTGATGTGAAGTCTATGTTCTATCAAGTTAGAGTGGCCGACGAAGACAAAGACTTTCTAAGGTTCCTGTGGTGGCCTAATGGAGATCTGCACAAGCAAGTTGAAGAATATAGAATGACTGTACATCTCTTTGGAGCAGTGTCGTCGCCTAGTTGTGCATGTTATGCTCTAAGGAAGACAGCAGAGGACAGTCGGAATGGGTTTTCGGAGGAGGTGATTGACACGGTATATAAAAATTTCTATGTGGACGATTGTCTGAAAAGCTCACCGTCTGTGCAGAAAGCAGTACAGATTGTCCAGGACCTGACTGAACTTTGCCAGAAAGGAGGGTTTCATCTTACACAGTGGATAAGTAGCAGTCGCAAAGTCCTTGAAACAATTCCTGAGAAAGAACATTCTAAAAGTGTGAGTGAACTAAATTTGGACATAGACCAACTTCCGAAAGAGCACTGGGGCTACATTGGTGTCTGGAAAATGACAAGTTTAACTTCCATGTGAACTGCAAAGAACGGATGCAAACACGGCGAGGGATTCAAACACGGCGAGGGATTCTATCAGTCACTAGTGCAGTGTACGATCCCTTAGGGTACGTTGCGCCAGTCCTTCTACCAGCCAAGCACATATTACAAGAGTTGTGCAAAAGGAACTATGGCTGGGATGAAGAAGTTCCACAAACCTTAAAACAGCAGTGGATAAAGTGGTTAACTGACCTGAAAGAGATCTCAGAGTTCCGAGTGAGTAGGTGCTTGAAACCACATGACTTTGGAACACCAGTCCACGCCCAGTTGCATCACTTTGCCAATGCCAGCGAAAGGGGATATGGCACGGTAACTTACCAAAGGTTACAGAACAAAGCAGGTCATGTTCATATTTCCTTTCTTCTTGGAAAGTCCAGAGTAACACCTCTTAAACCCGTAACCATTCCTCGTTTGGAACTCACTGCTGCCGTTTTAGCTGTTCGAGTGGACAGGATGGTAAAATCAGAGTTACAGCTTTCTTTGTCAGAATCCTGTTTCTGGACTGATAGTACTACAGTCTTGAAGTACATCAGCAATGAAAACAAAAGGTTTCGAACATTTGTGGCCAACAGAGTAGCCATCATTAGGGAATCTTCAGAGCCAGCACAGTGGCGCTATGTTCACACAAAACAAAATCCTGCAGATGACGCATCTAGAGGACTGACAGTCCATAAGCTTTTGAACAGCAAAACATGGCTATCAGCTCCGGAATTCCTGTGGAGAGCAAGAGAAACATGGTTACAGTACGAAGTGGAGTCCACATTGGAGGAGGATGATCCAGAGGTCAAAGTGGAAATCTCCACAAACGCAATAACCATTCGAGGATAATGCAACCAGCCAACTCATCACCTATTTCTCTGACTGGAAAAGGTTGAAAGTCGCAGTTGCATGGTTGCTGTTGGTCAAAGGGACTCTATTGGAGTTGAGTCAAAGAAGGAAGCAACTTGTGAAAGATGGAATGGCTAATCTTGATGTTGACAGAAAAATGTTGGAAGCCAGAAAGTCGTTCAAACTAGAACGTGTATCAACGGAGGATCTATTAGCAGCAGAAAACGCTATCCTTCAGTTCTGTCAGAGGGAAAGATTTGACACTGAGATTTGTGCACTAAAGACAGGAAAACCTGTAAAAGGGTGTAGCCCTATCTACAAGCTGAATCCTGTCTTAGAGGAAGGACTGGTAAGAGTTGGTGGAAGATTGTCCAGGACTGCAATGCCTGAAGAGAGCAAACATCCAGTCATCCTGTGTAAAGATCAGCACATCTCCATGTTAATTCTTAAAAATATTCATGAACAGACAAGACACGGTGGGAGAAATTACATCCTTTCCAAATTGAGAGAAAAGTTCTGGGTCACTCATGCCAATGCAGCAGCAAGGAAAATCTTGTCAAATTGTCCTTTTTGCAGACGTCACCAAGGAAAATTGTGTGATCAAAAGATGTCGGATCTTCCCAAAGAGAGGATTACTCCAGACTTCCCTCCATTTACTAACGTGGCCGTGGACTATTTTGGGCCTATTGAGGTAAAACAAGGACGTTCTTATGTGAAACGTTATGGAGTTATCTTTACATGCATGGCCAGCAGGGCAATTCATTTAGAAGTGGCACACTCGTTAGACACAGACTGCTGCATCAGTGCTATTCGTCGATTCATATGCCGAAGAGGACCCGTGGCACACTTTCGCTCAGACAATGGCACAAATTTCACAGGTGCAGAAAAGGAACTAAAAAGAGCAATTGCAGATTTAAACCACAGATCAATTGAGAAGGCTTTAATTCATGACAATATCAAGTGGACGTTCAACCCACCTGCAGCTTCCCATCATGGCGGTGCTTGGGAAAGCATGATCAGACTGGTCAGGAAGGTCTTGGTATCTGTTTTACATCTACAGACTCTAACTGATGAAACGTTAGTCACAGTCTTATGCGAAGCCGAAGCAATCTTGAATGACCGACCAATTACGAGAGTTTCTGAGGATCCTAATGATTTAGAGCCACTAACACCTAATCATCATCTTACTTTGAAAAGAAAACCAGTTTTGCCTCCAGGTCTGTTTGATCAAAAGGACCAGTACGTAAGACGAAGATGGAAACAGTCTCAGTATCTTTCAGATTTGTTCTGGAAAAGGTGGACGAAGGAGTATCTTGCAACACTACAGGAAAGACAAAAGTGGAACAAAACACAACGTAATCTTATGGAAGGAGATATTGTTTTGATTGCAAATGCTACAGCACCACAAAATTCGTGGATGATTGGAAGGATTATTAAATCCTTTCCAGACAAATCAGGCATAGTTATATCTGTGCAAATCAAAACCAAAACAAATGTAATTGAAAGACCAGTGACAAAACTAGGACTATTGGTAGAGCAGTCAATGTAAAAGTAAAACAAACGCACCAAAAGAGGGTCGATTTGTTTGTTTTTATTTGTTATTTTTGTTTGCAAACGTTGTTTTCGTTGTATGAATGTCTCCATACATGAATTGTTTATAATTGTCATGTCTTGAAGTGCCATGAACAATTAGGGGCCGGTTGTGTTGGAGCCATTCTGAATACTGCAATGGGATGGCACTGTTTTTGCCACCAGCCTATTTAACACCAGGGCTAATTAGTGCAGGTGTGGCGCACAGCGAGGCAGATAACTTTTGACCGTGAGGCACGGCGGATTGGGAACCGAATTGTTTGTTATTTTTGTTATAAATAAATGGATTGACATATCCGATGTTAAGTTCAGAAGTTATGAAAGTAAGTTATTTTTATTTTAAGCCACAAACAACACGCCGGAAAACACGAGTACAAAACAACTTAAATGTGCGCCAGCAAAGTTATTGTTGTTTCTCTCCTGATCCGTAGCTCGGCTTGTGTAGCTGCATCTAGAACGCGAACTAAAAACAACACATTTATTTTGAAGGCGGCGACCGGAAGTCCCCCAATTGAATTTCAAGAAGTGAACTTTTTCCTTTGCGTGAAATTCCTCTAGTTTCTTTTGTTTGCATGTCAGCAGCAACGATAGCGAGTGGATATCTGGCATTTGTAATGTCCCCGACTGGAAGCAGCTAACATTGCGACACACAGTCCTCCTCCCCGGGCCGGGAGAGCGAGGGGGAGAGAGGGGGAGACTCCCGGTGCAAAGGGAGGGAAGGGGGACCGTTGAGGAAGGAGTGGCGGTTATGTGGCAAAACTCTCAACCTCTCTGAAGAGTTGTGTCCTCGCTTGTGTATTTGTGGAGAAAGGGGTAAGTTTACTGCACCTTCGTACTACTACTGGTAGTTTTTAGTGGTTCCAGCTTTCACGGTCTGGTGTAACTTTGATTTCAGGCCGTCGGCTGAGTTTAAACACTACTGAGTCCAAGTAACGCTGCGCCGACCTGCAGCTCCACCAGGAAGTCTCCTTTATTTAACGGAGCTCGCTGCTTCAATCCAACCTACTAGATATCGTTATTACTACTGCCGCTATCAAAACAATGCACGAAGACCTTTTAAGAAATATGCGGGGTTTTGCCCTTTTACATTTTTTTCAAAATAAGTTATTTCCACCCCAAACTTTATCCAAAGTAATTAAAGATTAAATGATCGACTTTGATCAAAGAAAACCACATATTTAATCTGACCAGAAATGTAGCTTTCTGTACCTGAGTTTTTGTAATATTCAGTATTTGCAGCAGTCCTGCACGAAATGAGGAAAATATACGATAATGATATTTACTTCCAATGTAGTTAAAGTGTACTTGGGTCTGCCTTTCTGGTGATTTCAGTATTATTTAACATTCTTTCAGTCATTTGAACAGTGAAGTGATCACAAACGAGACCAAAAAAACGTTGTATAAATATACATGTAAAACATACATATGTATAATTGTTAGTCACAAGCAATAGAGTTCAAAATTTGACTTTGCAATGGAAATTTCAAAAAAGAACAACATATTTGTGCAACCTTACTACGGACACATTTCAGTTAGGGCTTGAAAAGAATTGCGCTTTGCCCACTGACTTTTATTTGGCTTTGTAAATGTTTGAAATGGTGTTTCAAAGCCAGTCTCTGATTATGTCCCTGTCACAAAAACATCCTATTCACAGACGTACACATTGATTCCTTTGATCCGGCTGCTTTCCAACTCCTTTCTGTGAACTGGGACAAAGGTGCAACAATGGCACCTGTGCCGCTGTTCAGTTGATATTTCCAAAGTTCTCCTTTTTATATATATATATATATATATATATATATATATATATATATATATATATATATATATATATTAGTCTCCCACTCTTTCCTAATCCATAAAAGACTGGCATGTGAGAGGAAAAAAGTGTTGGTGTTTTCATCAAATCACACATTAGAAAATGGACAAAAGAATGTTTTAGCAATAACGAAGTGGAGAAATGCAGAATCCTTATACAAAAGAAAAAAAATCGCCCCACCTATATTGAAAAAACAAAGTCTACACCTCTTTTTTTCACCGTGAGGTACAGTCCTGAATTTGGAAATTGTTACAAACATTTTCCACCCCCAGCAAGGTGAATCCCATCCAGCACTTCGTCCCATAGGAGGATCCGTGTAACGCGCCCGTGCAGGGATGGAGGGAGAGAAGGAGCGACAGAGGCAGCAGCGGGAAGAGAAGGAGAGCAACGAGGCGGAGGACAACAGGACCAGCGACGAGGACGCCGACAATGATGAAGTGGAGGAGGAGGAAGATTCAGAATGCGCAGCCCTGGTCTGGCAAGAGGGCTATGGCGAAGACAACCTGGGCCTTCCCATCATGCACTGGGAGGCGCTAAGCCTGCGCATTGCCGAGCTGGAGAAGCAGGAGGAGGAAAACAAGGAGAAGAAGGCAAAGGTCTGTCGTCTGGGAAAAGGGGGGTCTGATACGTTCATGGGGCAGCAGAGGAAGTCATGTACTTGGGCACAACTGCCACAACACATGGGAGAGAGAAACAGGAAGTGATCCATACAAATGTTTATATTCAGGGGAAAGCAGTGAACCCCTTTATTATTCTCTCAGAGGTACCTTTACCTAGAATTACTCTTCAACCCAACACTTTTCCTGCTTCTAGCCTCTAACTACACCTCTGTGTCACAAGTGAAGGAACTGACCGAAGGTGGAACAATTTATGACTGCATGATCTCCCCCCCCCCCCCCCCCTCCCTTTTTTTTTAAAGTCAAATGCAGCTATTCATCATCATCTGGCTGAGATATGATATAGGGCTATCATAGTACAACCATTGGTCCAATGGGAAAGGGAAAGACAAATAAACCCCACTGTTTATTTATTTGTCAGAGGGGAGTTTCTCTTGAGAGAGGAAGAGCACCGGTCAGCTGGACGGAGGAGAGAGGAAGAAGAAGGGAGAGCTGGGAAGACGGAGATGATGCCTGCAACAGCCACGTGCTGGCGCTCACCTCCCGGTACACACACACACACACAACCCTCTCAAGTAACCTCTCACTCATAAGTAGAGTGTATGATGTAATTTGGTTGTGTATCTCTTAGCACAACACGCCCTAATATGTCTGTCGAGTCGGGATCACAAACCTCACGGTTCGGGTTCAGATCATGGATCAGAAGTCACGGTTCGGATAATTTTCCAGATCAGAAAAGGGGAGGAGTCAAAATTAACTTTGTTTTCCATTTCTTAAGTGATAACTCAATAGTGAATAATCAATTGAGGCTGTAATAGTTTTAGCCCGGTCAGACTCTGCCACAGACCCTTTCCTAAATGCTGCAAGGTTGCTGCGGCTTCACCCCCCCGTCACTGATCGACCAGGACGGCAAGTTCCAGATGTGTGGCCGCGGTCCATGTGCTGCCGTGTTCATGTGGCTTTCTCTGCAAACGATGCCGCTTTGTCTACCGTCAAACTAACTGCGTTAAAATATTTTAGCGCATTAATCTCGGCCACGTTAATGGCGTTAATGTTGACAATATGTTTGTTTAAAGGGACTTGAGCTGTCAGAGCAATAAATAAATAATTAATTTAAAAATTGTTGTGTTAATTCACACCTTGAAGACCGGTCAGTGAAATGATGTCTAACATGAAACCGGTCTGTATTGTGTTCAATGTAAGGCTACACTGTGCAACATTACTGCAGGGACTTGTTACTTAAATAAGTTACTAAGTTAAATTGCTATTATAGTAAGTATTGTACATGAAATTATTATTTCAAGAGTTAATAACTACGGTTGTTGTGTGTCCTTTTTGTGTACTTTTTCACGTTTTACACGGTTCTGCTTTTTATGTTTTATATGTTCTTAAACGTCAATAGAGAGGATAAAGTCGGAGATGCATTTGTGGGCCTGTAGCTGTTGAAGAAGTGACTGTTGCTCTGTGCTGCTGAAGCTTTCTTCACGTTTACACTTTTCCCTCCTGCTGACGGGACACAGCGCTCAGCCAGCCAGACTTCACGTGAACATTATGGTGTAAACACGCCACATGACGTGTGTTTGCGTTCCCCAGCCTGCAGACGCAGATGAACCTGCAGCTCTGCTTCATCAACAACAGTGAAAGTGAGGAGGAGGAAGAGGACGAGAAGGTGAGCAGCAACACGCGGCTAACTACTGCTGTCTACAGTTGTTATGGGTGAGCTGGAACATCTGAGGAGTAACCCTGTCCCCATATTGTCCCTCCCTGCTGGTAAAGAAAGGGGCGGCTCAGGTCCAGAAGACTCCTCAGCCTCCTGCCAAGCCGGAGAAACCCAAATCCAGAGGCTTCAGGAACACCCTGAGGAACCTACGAGACCGCCTGAGAACTGACCACAGGACGCCGGTGAGAGGTCCACTTTGATGCAGCCATGTTTTTCTCTCTTCTTTCCAAGTGAAGTTCACCCTGTGGGTGAGTGGGAGCACGGACGTCCTCCAAGGATTCGCAGTTTCAGCCGGTTAGCTGGTTGGACATCTGGGATGTCAACGTGTCCTTCGGCAAGACCCCGACATTGCTCCTGTAGCTGCGATTACAGTGTGTGAATGTTATTTACTGATGGGAAGGTGGCACTGTGTGTGGTTCTCCTGTCATCAGTGTGTGAATGGGTGAATGATATCATGCAGTGTTCAAGTGCTTTGAGTGGTCGGAAGACTAGAAAAGCTCTACACAAGTACAGTCAATTTGGCATCACAACTCTGGCCTCCTTTCTCCTCCCTTGTCCCTCTCTCCTCCACCTATCTTCTCTCCTCTCAGGCTGCAGCTCGTAGTGAACCTGTAGTCCAGAAAAAACATGTTGAGCGCAGTGATCTACAGAACCTCAGCATGAAGGACCTGAATGCACTTTGTGCGTCTCTCAGCCAGAACATCCAAGGTACTCTCGCACACACATCACGTACACAACATTCTCAACTACAACTTTGAAAAACTGTTTCCATCTCTCCATCTCAGACCTGAGCTCAGACCTGGTGGGCCGCCTGCAGGCCCGAGACCAGCTGAGGACGGAGCAGGACGCCATGCTGCTGGAGGTCCAGGACCTGACGTCGCAGTGAGCCTGCGGATCGCTCCGAGCTGGAGTTCCCACAGACACACAATCTTAAATGTTCTGAGTCGGCCTCTACGAACATCTCAGTCAGTCCCTCCGCCTGTCGGTCTGACCAGCCAAACAATGTGAAGAGTGTCGCTCCCTGAAAGGACAAGGACATTCCGTTTTAATGTTACTCAGTGTATTATGTATTTATAAGGAAACCTTTGTCCACCAGCAGTGGTTTGAAACTCGTGGCAGAACCAGCTTTGTTCAGTCACAGTTGTACGGTACGGTCGACAAACAGAAACTGAGTAAAACGCCACATCTGGGCAGTGGTTGCTGACCTGAGAGGAACAAACTCTTTTCATCCGGGTCACGTTTTTGGGCGGTTCTAGACACGGAGAGATGTCACTGATCAAGTGTCTGACATCAGAGTCGTCGCTCAAAGGATCCGAGTAGTGTTGATGAAGTCCATCTTCATTTCCCTCATCGTGGGGATTTATGACCACTTGTGCCGACACTAAGGAGCAACGTTTCCGTCAGCAGATCCCAGTCCTTTTCGTATCTGGCTCAAGAGTATATTTTCAAAATACTACGTACAAAAATAGGGGAAAGACTTACGGTTGGATGACTATTCTCCTCACCCCTCCTGAGTTATGCGTATTGTTTATTTCTTTGAACCGATAGCCTGGTTAAATAGTTAATTATTAACTTCTCCATTGCAAAGAGGTTTGCTCTACTAATGTTGAAATGTCATTAACATTTTTTTTGGACTGTAAGGGTATTTTTAAGTGCTATTGTCAGTACTAGTCTGTAACGTGTGGCTCATCTTTGAACACAAGGATTCAAAAGGGACTCCTGTTTAGAAGCTGCTAATTCTGTCAACGCAGAATTCTATTTTGTTTTTCTAATTTGTGTAGTTGTAGTTTTTTTGTATTATTTTATGTTCATGTTTATCTTTGTGTAGCCTTTCTCATCCCTCTTTGTCCAAACATTATGTGGTTCAGAACCGAGCCAGAACCAACTTCCAACAGGAATATCCTGTATTCATCATTGACAAATATAGGTCTTGGCTACAATCGGCACTTATCCATTTGAAAATACTTCAAATACAACTCCCAAGTTATTAAATATGTTATGCAAATTATTCCAGAAAATGTTCACATCAAAGCTAGAAGCGAAGAAAGACACCGACTTGCCAGACGAGACTACGCGAAAGACGCCGATATCCAAATGACAGGAGGCAAAAATCCAGATTTGGACTGTAGTCTCTCTGCCGTGAGGCCTGCGAAAAGCCTCTTCTAGAGTAGTTTCTCTTTGCTCTTCTCAACGTGGAACTTCACACGCTTACTGTCTGTGCTATCGCGTACATGTGTTTTATTTGTTTTGTTAATTCTCAAAATCCCTTTTTTTGTCTTTGTCTTTTGTCTATCTATTTCTTCACCAGTAACATATAAATTGATTTTTACACATCAGAACACTCAGTGTTTAGTGTTTCCTTTATCCTAACAGGAAAGAAGAAGACAATTGTTTACACAGACGAGGTGGTTTCAGTGTTATTACTCTTTTTATCATAGGCACGCCATTTTCTGAGCAAAGGCCAAAAAGCAGGCTCGGGGACCTTATGTTAAATTAAGTCCAAGGGTTTTTTGTTAAAGGGTTTTTAATGTAAAACAAAGTTTTCTCGTCGTCCAGAATAGCTTAAGAGGATTTTTTTTTAAGAAGCCAATTTTAATTATTTTGAATTTACTTTTTGAACCATTATACAATCATTTTTAACTAGCATTTATAAAAAAGTAAATTATTCCATACTGGCTTGGTGTACAGCACACATTTGGAATATGTACAAATGACAGATGTTGCGGACCGAGCGCCGGGTATTTCCACTTCTTAAGGCAGCTCAGTGCATCGATGCAGAACACAGAAACCCAATCATCTGTCTGATTTCTTAACATAAAAGATGAACTCCTCCACAGTGTTATTTCACCCATAAGTGCCTCCACGTTAGTTAGCTCAGATGGAAGTATGAGAACAGGATCTCGTTCATCTCATTCTTTTAATGAAGAAAGTATAAATGATTTAGAAATAGAGTAGATTCTGGTATTATTCTGTGGATCGAAGAATTTAATTGCACTTACTGTGCCTTTATCATTTTGTTGGTGGTTGGGCCATGTTGTTTCCATTGGATAACAGGTTGTGCCTTTAAAAATGAATAAAGTATTAGTCTTTACTCGGAGTGGGTCGACCAGCTGTGTCACACGTCTGTAACTCAGTCCAACTCATGACTCATTGTATGCACTGCGTGGCCTTCTATATGGGGAAGTATTTCCGCTCCTCTCTTTGGCAGTTTCAAAGGTGTCTGGACCCATTTATCATGGCTTTGCGAGCAGCTATATTTTTCATGTCTACAGTGTATGTCCATCTACATCAATTCTTCCCTTATGTCATGAATAGAACGGACTAAAGGGTTAGGATATTTTTCCTAACATTGGCTTGGTTTATAGATTTGTGTTATTTGGGAGAAGCGGTAAGTAGATTTGCATTCATAAAGGACCTTTTAGTCGTCCACATTCATCCGTTCACACACAATCAGACGGCTGGACGGAGCAATCGGGGTTCAGTGTGAGGACACTTTGACATAGAAACATTCTTTATAGATGGCTATTAACCTATTTATTTACCCCCAAAAAATAGAAACTTTGATGCAGGTAAGTTTTCCTTTTTCATGTGATTTACAGCAAAGGGCTTTAAATAACATGGCTTTTCCAAACTCAGAGTGAATCTGGACCAACAATGAAGACGTTATACATGTCCACATATATACCTATTAATGGTATCTATTCATCTGTCTGTGTGTTCGTTTGAGATATTGCAAAACGTCCAGCCTAGCACAACAGGTGAGAAGAGAGGGAGTCTCTCTCTCGCTCTCTCTCTGTCTACTCTGTCTCTCTCTCTCACACACACACACACACACACACACACGCACACAAAAGTGAAGCCGGGAAGAAGAATTGGATGACACACAGTGAGGGACAGAGGGAGGGACTGGATTACCATAGAAACCTCTTGGACTGTTCAGGGAATCGGCAGAATGAGGTGAAAGCTGAAGTGGTCTAACTATCAAGGTCACTGCAGAGCCGATCAGCGGATGTTTTCGGAGCTTTTCTTTCTAATAACCACAAAAAAGGTGTATTTTGAATCTTCTCGTCGTGCACAGCTCTACCGGAGTCAAAGCCTTTTGGATGTTTTTTTACGTTCTTGTGATTATTCTGATGGGTGACTGAACAGGAGCCATATGGAGCAGACGTGATTGGCGGCACACGTACGCTCTTTGTGGAACAGCAGATTGCAGCGATGCAGGTATTTATGAGTTAGATGCAGTTCCCTATTAACAAAGAACTCCTAATGCATCACTCTGGGCTCCACACGGGTCATTCTTTGTTGGGCCTCCGGATTTGCTGAAGCAGTAAAACATCTTACACATAAATCTTCAACGTCATTTCCAGATTTTTACTTCATTTTAACTGACTTAAAAAATGCTTGCCCTAGAACATTTCTTAATGACATAGAATATGGATTCATAGGCAGATGATGCATCAGGCTGGAGTTGTTTTTCTCAGAACCTATTAGCTGCTCCTGGAAAACAATTTGATCTTTACCAAAACAGCAACTGTTACCTTTGTTTATTTATTTAGTTAAAACAGACACATCCTAAAAATGTTTTGAAATTCAGTATTAAAAATATCAGATCATAGAAACACAGAAAAGACAGAAAGGCCATTTACGTCATATTTAAATTTTTATGGTTCCATCTTTTTTTAATATATTTTTCTCTTTTCAATGGGTTGTGGTTACCTATCAAATCCAAGCAAAATTGACCCCAAACCTCTAGAGAGAGAAAATCTCCCAACAGTCCAAAACTGAGTTTGTGATTTGTTATAAATGTGTTGTAATAGTTCAGGCAGTCATCGAGTCCTTTATTTCTGTGCAGTTTCAAAATCTATTGGGAGACTGGTAAACATGTTTCAGTCCTTTAATCCATCATAAAGTTAATTTACGTTACTTAGTGTACATGCACCTACGCAAACAGGGTACGGTTGGACAGTAGCAGGTTACCTTCAATGTCATGCATCCACAAAACCCCGCTCCCAGCTAAATTTTCCCTGGAGAAAGCTGAAACGTGTATTGATATCACTGGGGGTTTTAACTAATGTGAGCATGTGCATCACATATACCTCCCAATGGGAAAATATCCCAGGGACAGCAGAGCAGTATGGCGAAAAATCATTTAATTAGAAGTCTCTATCATTCTAAATAAGTCTTTACGTATTTTTATATTGTATGTCTTTCTACATTGCCTGTCCTGTCAGTGTGCTCTCATCAAATTTTCCAATTGTAAAAAAATTAATTGAGGCCAATGGCCTGAAATTTATTGACATTTCAAAAACGCTGCACCGTTGTTTGCTAAATAGTTAGCTGTAATGTAATCAATACACTATCTGTTGATAGAAAAACATCAATTATTTTCAAACTCTACAAAATGACCAGACTCCGTTCCATCAGCCCTCACAGTGGTGGCTAAAGACCCTGGTGATCTAAAAGGGTACATTACTTGAGGCAAATGACTGTCTGAAAGTTTTTCCACATTAATAGGAGGTTATTTTATGAAGCATTAACTTCTGCTAGATATCTATCATACTTTGGTAGTCAAAATGGCCAAACCTAAGCACATAGATTAGACTGTTGCAGGTTGTAATATCACCTTAAGGTTACAGGTTTCCGTCCTCCGACAACCTATTTGTGTCGGACTGTTAATATGTCATGTTATTGGTTGACATATTACCCTTATTTAGTTGAACTCTGAAGTGAAGTGGTGGTATAACCTGCAGATGGCTCACCTAACACTTCCACAAACACACACAGTTGCACTTGCTTGTGTGCTGATCCTAATATGCAACGGTACAGCTGCTGGCGAGGCTTTCAACTAATAGCTCAAGCATCGCTTCAGTGAATCCTGTTTAGTTGGGTGTACCCTAATGATGCTGCAGCCCATCAATAGGTGACAAAACATCTAAAGATAAACTTTTAGGATTTTGAGTTAGCAAAGGGTCAACGGAGTGAGAGCAAGACTGATATACAGAAGGGTGGATGGAGACACCCAGGGGAAGTATGGTTACTTATTGCTGAGTTAATGGGCCGAAAAGAGACTGAATCAGCAGCATACCCTTGTACACAGGAAGGCAAACAAGTACTAAGAATCAGCAGCATTCAGAGTTCAAACAGTCAAAGGTTACAGGGGGGGGGGAGCGGTGGGAAGCACCACTTCTTCAATATAAGCCACGAAAAAAGTTTTGTTTTTCATGTTAAGCTTAATACTAGTGTGATAGTGCCAAGATGTGCACAATGTTGACATGCTGATGTTTATGTGGTCATATTTACCATATGAGTAATCTTACTAAGGCAGGTTAGGATTCTAAAATGAGCTGTGACCCTCTGCTACACAGCACTGCTCAGATCATAAATCAAGATTGAACCGCTTGTTGCATACATTTGGCATTCTTTTTTAAATAACCAATTTTGTTAGTTTAAGGCAACACAATGACTTTGGTAGGTCAAGAAGGGATTGCCGTTTACGTTAAAATAAGTATGTTCGCAAATCATAGCTGGCATGGTTCATGAGTTGGGAGCAAGATTGGTCTGCACATTCCCATGTTTCACATTACTTAACAGGGACTCGATAAGTAAAGGTGGAGGAAATGAACAGCAGCGGTCAAAGGCCTGGTTAGTTTGTGGTAGAGCCGCATACAAGATTGTGTCACGTATTAAGTATACAGTCATAGATGGACGGCTAATTTATTTCTTTATCTCTAGGTGAACACCCACTCATGGATCTGACCATCTGAAAGCATCTGAAACTACTGCCTGGAACCAAACAAAACTACACCGAATGTTGCAAAGTACAAGGATGACCGAGAAGAAGTTTGACAGAATCTCAAACGTACAAGCCTTTTTCAACGTCTCTATCACATGAAAATCACTTCCTCCTCAAAATGTCATTCAGACGTGGAGTTCCTCCCAACATCAGTGCCTTGGTACTACATGACTTACTCAGCTCCTCCACTCCCTCCACCACCACACCATCTCCATCTTGCAGCATAGATGAATCCTACAAGTACATCTTTCTGCCCATCTGTTACTCTTTCACGTTTCTCTTCAGTATCTCCCTGAACTCTGTCATCCTCTTCCGTTCCTTTCGCCAAACCAAGCGCTGGAATCCCTCACTGATCTACATGGTGAACCTGGCCTCTACAGACTTCATGTACGGCCTGTCACTGCCATTCCTTGTGGCTAGCTATGTCATGCGTGACCGCTGGGTGTTTGGGGATTTCATGTGCCGCCTGGTCCGTTTTCTCTTCTACTTTAACCTCTACTGCTCCATTTTCTTCCTCACTTGTATCTCCGTCCACAGGTACCTCGGTATCTGCCACCCAATGAAAGTCATCACACTAGAGACTAAGAAGGCTGTCAAGAGCACATGTGTCTTGGTTTGGATTGTAGTTTTTGCTTTGACCTGCCCTATTTTCCGGTTTGCTCAAACTGGTCATGTGACAAGATATGGAGGGCCTGACGGCAATGCAAGCTTTATTGACAACATAAGCCATGAGGTGTCATCAATAAATGGTAATGCAAGCTATGGTAACATGGGTGGGGTCATTGAGGAGTACAGGAATTGTTGGGACGATGCCATAGATAAAGAGTTTCCTGATTACGTACCCTATGGCATCGTGCTCCATTTACTGGGCTTTTTTGTGCCTTTTTCCATTATTGCTTGGTGTTACTCTCACGTTGTTCTGACCATATTTAAGACTCTGCATTCTCGGCCATCATCCCGCAGAGGTCCAAGAGAGGGATATGAAGGAATGGCGAGAAATGAAAGAAGTAACCCTGCAATCAATGCAGGAGGTACAAAGGGAAGGAATGGACTGTCGAGGACCCTGAGGAGAGATGAAGGGACATCCATTTTCCTTGGTGCACACTCACCTTATGCCAATCGCAGACGTAAATCTATCAAAACAATCATCACCATCACCCTTCTGTTTGCCCTATGTTTCTTCCCCTTTCATGTTACTAGAACCATCTTCCTCGTGCTAAAAGTGACCAAGGGAGTCCCGTGTCACACTATGACCATGGTGTCCATGTGTTACAAGATCACGAGGCCTTTGGCTTCATTTAACGCATGGCTCAACGCCCTCCTTTATTTCCTGACTAAAGACAAGGGGGGAGCTCACTGTTGCCAGGCAGTAAACACCTCCACCCAACAACATGGTGGGCTTCTATTGCCGCTTAGGATGATGGGAAAAGGAGAGGATGCAGAAGAGGGAGGGTTGGAAGACAGAATTGATAATAAGGAGACAAAAGTATTTCAAAGTCCATCGTACATAAACAGAGCAAAAGTCAGATATATAGTTGAATGAAGACAGATCTTTAGATTAAGTGTAGGCAACTCTAGCTGGTAAACACAATATATTATAGTGTATGATCCCTGTAACTAAAGCAATGATTAAAGAAGACCCAAACTAGAATTATAATATCCCTTTTATTTCTTTTATTTGTGCCTTATTACTGGTCTGCTGCCAGTAATACTTTGGCAGTGACCCACTGTGTACATGCAACATGAATGCAAAAGTGACAGCTCATTGTGATGATAGTTGTAGTGTTATTTTCTTTTAAGGGGAATGTATTTATAATGTTTATCAGGTTAAACCAAGCAAAAGAAATGTCTGTGGCTACACTTGAAAAGTAAATTTTCATAAAAAGGGATAGTCTCCCAATGAAGCCATACTTTCACACATTTTCTCACTTTGACAATTGCTGTTGTAAAATGGTTGTGTGCTTGAGGGTTTTAGGAAGTTACAATTATTGTCTCGGCCAGAAGGGAGTTTCGAAAAGGATTATTTGCCAAACTGTGTTGGGAAAGCTATACTCATGTTGTGGTGTGACATTCCATATGTAGGTGTTTTGTGACTTTTCTGTTGACAGTGTACTCCTTACTCAATGACAATAAATACAGAGATTGAAAAATAAAATGCATTTTAATTTGTGAGGATACGCTATACGTGTCTGCCCCTCCACTTATATGATACAGATAAGTTATGTGAAAAATAAAAGCAACCCTCAAATGTTGATTCACAGGTGTGTAGGCCATTTTGTGAATTATACCATTTTTACGGTTCTTTGACTTGGTGGCATTCCCTGATGATATTGATAAGGACATTTTAACCACATATAAAGGGCATTGCAGATCACATCACATTGTTTGCAACCAGCCTTCCATCACATTTTCCCACATCATTGGTTGGTTATGTCAGACAGTCTTTGAACGTCTAAAGGCATTCATTCTACATTCATGCCTACTTTACAGAGATTCCCTAGGTGCATGGTTACTTTTTATGTCCAAACTAGTCCAGTACCACTAATGCCCTCAAATAAAAGCGTGCACCAATATTTCCATTAGAGAGTTCCACCCATCGTGATCCCTTCTATGATCATCTTTAAATATCATCATTAAATAAACCAACTTCAAAGAGGTTTCGCCTTTAGATATGTTTAGATTAACCTTTTTCTCAACTAGTGTGTTTGAAGCATACAGTATCCTTAAAGGTGCTGCTCAAGTCTCTATTTGATCATGTGATGATAAAATACGTTAAAGTTACACCAATTCGAAGGTCACGACAACGCAGTTCATTGAGCACAGCACAACTGAACGTGTAGCAATGCCTTTTAAGCATAAGAGTGGAAGCTCTAGGGCAGCGGTTCCCAAACTCAAGAATGCCGCGGCCCAATTTGAAATCTGAAAATCTTTCGCGGCCCACCCAAACCTTTAATCACAACTCTGATCAAAACATAATGATTAAATGACCTTAAGAATTTAACCAAAATCAAACATCCATGAGCCAAAGCCCGTCTCGCGCGAGCAAAAGTTTGTCTCCGCGAGGTATTTGCTCGCTTGCGAAACATGAACTTCGTTGCTCGCGAGGAGAATCTCTGCTCGCGCTCGAAGGAGTTTTCTACGCGCTCGCTGTTGTTCTTTTTGACAGTAAGGTGGAGACGGTGCTTTCAGGGTCGACGATGCTGCGAGGTGCGTCCGCTCCCGCCGCCCCCTCGCCATCCACGCCTTAAATCTTGTACAACCAGTATGGATCAACCGATTAACCAATTGATCCATATATATAAGGTGCTCCAGATTATAAGGCACTGTCGTTTTTTGAGAAAATTAAAGCCTTTTAAGTGCGCCTTGGAGTGCGGTATATTGACTTTAATACTACAAGAGGGCGCCCCATTTGTTGAACAACGACAGGCGGACAAGAGCAGCTGTTTCGAGCGAGAGCCTTATTGTTTTATTAATCTGTCCGTTTAAATTGTTTGTGCTTCATCAACTAATGTTTCACATAACTAATGTGCCGCATCATAAATATTTTTATATTAATTTCAAACTTTTAAAAATTGAAAATTAAAAAACTTTATTTATTTATTGTAAATGACCTCTCGCGGCCACCTGCAGTACCTTCGCGGCCCACACTTTGGGAACCGCTGCTCTAGGCGAACTAACCCACCAGGGGAAGAGGATTTTGTGCGGTTCATGTCCTGTCCCCTGTGTGAAGACCACTCAGGAGGTGTACTTCCTGTCTTATTTTGTAGTTTTCTGGCACTCGTGTCCCCGGGTATCTTCACTTCCTGCCTGGTCCTGTCATCCCCTGTGATTGTCGGATTGTTTCCACCTGTGTCCAATCACCTGCACCTCCCTTGTGTATTTAAGCAGTGTGTGTCCATTGTCACGGATGGCCCTGTCTACCGTCTGGATGTTCCTTGTTCCTGCCTGCCTTTTTGTCCCCGGTTCGTGTGTGTGTTTTTTCCCGTTGGCCTTTTACTTTGTGGAGTTTTGGACTATTAAAGTCTTTTTTCGTTAAAGTCTGCGTTTGAGTCCTGCCTTCCTACCCAACCCTGACATATAGAAATTTTTCTCACTAGACAAGAACAATAAAAAAAATGAATTTATTCTCTTTTCTTCATTGCTACCATGTTACCTTTCATGTGACCCTTAGAGTGATCTCTGGAGCTGTGGATGGATCCCACCTTCAGGCTGGAATTGGGTTGGGAACCATTGCAACAGACTAGCTGCTCTTTAGCATTTTGGACACACCAGCATGACACTGTTACAGAAAATGTATTTCCCGCCAAATAACACTGGTCTTCTGAAGCCTGTTTTGGGAGGAGGGTGTTTTAAAACTGTGACCGTGAACTGAAATAAACATGTCCCTCAATATGTAGTTGCAGTTTAATGACACTGGAATGTAATTTAGTAGAAGAAAGGAATGTTTGGACAAGTTGTCTCCAGTGGCACAACAACTGAGCACAACATGCCAACAGGGAAACATGGTGGTCCTGGCATCATTTCACATTCTATATTTGGCCTATTTACAAGAAAGAGACAAATATAACAAGTGCTGACAATGTCTTCTTGTAACACCAATCAAGCATTTGAGTCCATCTAGAAAAATTGTGGCAATTTATTGACGGCACTGTCCAGCAGTACAATAACATCTGTAAAGCACATTCCATCTCTGCCAACAACAAAGTGCTCAGGATCAGGAAGCTGCAAAGTGTGAGGCTGGTGTTAGTGAGTCCACCTCTTGTTACCACTCTGCAGCTACTGATGCATCCGGCTTCGCTGGCTCAGTAACTACTACTGCTCTTCCTTAAAATAAGAATTGAATGTTTAACAATAACATTCTCTTGGGAAAAAAATGTCTTTGTGCAATCGAGAAGCTGCCCTAAAATCTGTCTTTGAGGTGGAACATGGACACAATCAGTGATAACTTAAGGCTTCTTTTTTTTTTAAATAGTAAGAAATCTGACGGCAATAAAACTGAAGTAATTTTCTTTGGAACACAGACCAACATTGTACCTCTCATCCTTTGATCTCTTCGGTTTACATTCAGGATTGAAGTGGGACAAATAATGATTATATACAAAGAAACCAAAAGTCCAGCATTAAATAAATCTGTAATAACCTACATAACGAACTTAAACACAGTTAAATATAATTAAATTGTATTTGGGTAAGGAGGTGGGAAGAGGTCAGGTTTGCACCGTAACTGCCAAAGTAGAAGGTATCACCTAGTTTCTTGCCCCTGCTACTCGACGTGAATTGCGCAGGTTTTTGGGCATGACTGGGTATTATCGTACCTTTAGCAGGAATTTCTCCTCTGTCGTAGCCCCACTGATTACTCAGTCCTTCTGTATCATTTAAGTGAACTGATGAGTGTCAGTCTGCTTAGGTAGACTAAGAAGACTTAGGTAGACTTAAGAACTGGAGGAAAAGACATTCAAGGAACTGAATAACCAACAACAGTCCATGGAGTCTAAAGTAACAGGGTTACTTTCCACCAACGTTTCTCTTCAAGAGGAGCTGCACAAGCAGCAGGCCAACGACCACCAGTTGGAAGCAGAACACAAACTGCTAAACATCAAGACAGAGGCTCTGGCTGAGACCATCAGGGAGAACGAGGGTTTATCTCTGAAGCTCACCAAGACCACAGAACAACTTTCTGTCAAAAGTGCTGAACTCACGGTCAACAACGAGACCTGGCAGCAGAAATATAAAGATCTGGAGGAAAAGACATTCAAGGAACTGAATAACCAGCAACAGAGGCATTTTTGGGAGACGGATACAAGACCGGCAGACGGAGATAGACAAGAGGCGCAAGATGCAGGACAAGGAGACAAAGAAGTAGGAGACAGAAGAGAAGAAAAAGGAGACCATCCGGGACGTCAACATCAACGTGCCTGAGACTGGACACCTGTAAGAACACCTTCCTTCATCTACCACTCCATCCTACCTTATCCATCTGCCCCCGCTCCCCTTCCACCCACGCTTCACAGCGCTCAAGACCCCCCCCCCACACACACACACACGCACACACACACACACACACACACACACACACCCGCACCGCCCCCTTCACAGCGCTGAAGACCCCCACACACACACACACACACACACTGTGGGTTTTCCCTCCATAAAAAATCTATCAACATCTGGAGAATACCATCACCAAAGAAAAATTTGATAACATGGCCCACCCCGTCATATGTGGGTTCCCCTGTGGGTTTTTCCCCCTTCTTGGGTTTCCCACATAAAAAAAAAAATCTCCTCCGCGAATCGCCACCTTAACGTGGTGGAGGAGTTTGAGTGGCTCAGTGATCCTGTGATCTGTGTTGTCTGTGGCCCCTTGTAGGGTGAACAACAGGTCTCAGGGGAGAGTCCAGACTAAGAGCGATTCAAAAACCCTGATGCTTAGCTTAGTCACCTGGCCCAGTTAGGAAGACTGGACAGGCTGTGCCGTTCCCTGGTGGCCTCGTCTCCCTGGGGGCGCGCGGCCAGCTGGCTGGTACTACCCGGCCCGGCCCTAATCAACCAGACCTGGGTGTGATTACCGTAAAGCAATTGCATCGGGGCAGGCAAACGTTACAAACTGTACACCTCTCTTTTGCGGTCAGTTGTCATTTCAGCACGCACCAGAGGTGACCCGTGACACCTCTGACACCTCCAATCTACAGCAGAACTGGCATAGCAGGAGATTGAAGCAACCGGCTCTACCACCACCACCGGTGTCTGGACTTGCAAAGGGGGTATATGCCTCATCTCGGCATCCCGGCCCCTGGTCTATCCTTCGGCAGGATGGAGTACAAGCCCCACAACTTGGCAATATAAGTATTTATGCCTGTTACAATAAAGCATTGTTAAAATTTCAACAAGTCTCTCCGGATTGAAATGGTTCTTACAGCCTAATAGCTATATTTCTAAAGTGTTTTTAAAAAAACACAAGCCCCAAGACAGTCTGGTTCTTCAAAAAACCAACACCTTCTAAAGAACCATTTTATCTATCAAATGGTTCTACATGTTTTTCATATGGTTATTTGGGATATTAAATGTTTCTTTGACATATTAAAAGGTTCTTAATTCATGTGTGAGTTGTTGAATGGTGGGCGATGAAAAAAAAGACCTCCGTGCCATGATGTTAGCTAGTTAGCTGCCTGTTGATACACACACTTCATATTTATAATATTATATAACAAATAGGACTAATATAACAAAGTATCATACTTTATTGTTCTAATTTCATATAAC